GCGGCCGGGCGGGCACCATGGGCCGGAGCCCGCGTCCTCCAGGCGCCCCGGGCCCCGCCAGCCCGCCCCGGGGACCCCCGGGAGCCCCTCGCAGCCGCCCCGAGACGGTGGCCGAGCGGGCGGGCGCGTAATTCTCCCGGAAGGGTTATTCTCTCGCTCCATTCTTGTTTTGGGGGGAGCCAGCGAGACAGCTCCTTTCGGGGCGCGCTGGCAAGGTGGGAGGGGGTGGGGGCCGGCCGATTGGATTCTTTCGCGTGTGTGTAGAAGCGGCCGCCGCCGCCGCGGCGGAGACGACAACAACTTGCTGGTTTTCAGGTTGGGTTAACGGCATGGAGAACAGTCACCCCCCCCACCACCACCACCAGCAGCCCCCGCCGCAGCCCGGCCCTTCGGGCGAGAGGAGGAACCACCATTGGAGAAGTTACAAGTTGATGATTGACCCGGCTCTGAAAAAGGGGCATCATAAACTGTACCGCTACGATGGGCAGCATTTCAGCCTGGCGGTGAGTAGCCGGCGTGCCCCCCCAGCCGTGTCCCCCGCCGCGTCCGGGGGAGACGCGCCTAGCGGCCGGGGACCCCCCGCCCGACCCCCCGGCCAACTGTCAGACGGGGCCCCAGCCCTGGAGTTTGACAAGTGCCTGGAGAAAGGGGTCTGCCCCTGGGGAGGGCGACCAGCCCTCCCATCGCGGACCCCCAATTTCTCCCTACAGATGTCCAGCAACCGCCCGGTGGAAATTGTCGAAGATCCCCGGGTCGTCGGGATCTGGACCAAAAACAAGGAGCTGGAGCTGTCGGTGCCCAAATTCAAAGTAGGACCCCTCCCCACTGCCCCGCCGTCCCTCCCCCACCTCCCCGAGTTCGAAAATAACGCCAGTCCTGACCGAGCCCGGCCGGATTCCCAGTTCCCGCCGTCCGGGGCCAGGGAAGTTTTGGCGGGGAGGGGTAGAGCGCTGGCGAGAGGGTGTCCCCTCTCAGCTACTGTAAACAAAATAACACTGGGTGAAACTGTAATCACGGCGTAGATACAGTGTCCTGCACGCCCCGCGGGGGGCTCCAGTCCGCCCGGGGGCTTGGCCCCGAGACTCTCCCCTCTCGCCAGCCCCCTAAAAGACAACTTCCTAACCCCGAGGGGTCGCCTCTGACCCGGCAGCAGGAAGAGGAGGCCAGAATGGGGGGTGGGGAAAGAGAAACTGTTTCTTTTTCCCCTTTCCTTCCCAACCCAGAGGACTTCCACGTTCCAAACGATTTAATCCTCCGCTTCCCGGGCCCGCCCGCGTGCATTTTTTTTCCCCCCCCCAAAATTTTTTTTTTTTTTAGTTTTTTTTACCCTTTATTGTTTTCAACGGGCGGGCGAGTTGCGGGGGGCGGGGGGGGGAATGTTGTGTTTTCCCTTAGGTTTAAACGTTCTCCAAACTCCCTTCCCCCTCGGCCCCTGCCAGATCGATGAGTTCTACGTGGGCCCGGTGCCTCCGAAGCAGGTGACATTTGCCAAGCTGAATGATAACATCCGCGAAAACTTCCTGAGGGACATGTGCAAGAAATATGGGGAGGTGGAGGAGGTGGAGATTTTGTACAACCCGAAGACCAAGAAGCACCTGGGCATCGCCAAGGTGGTCTTTGCCACTGTCCGGGGAGCCAAGGATGCCGTTCAGCACTTGCACAGCACTTCCGTCATGGGCAATATTATCCACGTGGAGCTGGACACCAAAGGTGAGCCCGGCAGGGGAGGAGCGCGGGGAGACCTGTCAGCCCGACCCTTTCCCTCCCCGTCCCTCCTGCAGCGTGGGGAGGACCACCCCCACTCTTCCTTGGAATCCCCCCCCCCATGCCCCACAACCTTATTTATTTTCTTAGCCCCCTCCTGAGGGTAGAGTCGCGTGGAGCTAAATGTGTTGTCTGTTGCTAGGAGACAGTCTGTAATTTACCAACTGTGCCGGTCCTTGGCCACCGCACCCCTAGGGACCACCCAGAGGCTTCCCCACCGCTGACACCCCCGCAGGCCCCCTCTCTGAGCCCTGGTGGCCTGGGTTTAGACAGTCCCCAGCGTTGCCTGTGTTAGGGGAAGAGGCAGAGTTTGTTTACTTGTGGGGGACTGAGGGAGTGCCACTAGGATGCTCTGGAAACTAAAAAGAGAGTCCTCTGAGGATCCAGGGTGTCCCCCGCTCCCTTGCCGCCCCTTCCCCCCTGGAAGTGGCAGCCAATCTGGGGCCGGGAGTGTTGTTTCATTGATAAGGTTCCCGATAGAGCCGCCAGGAAAGAGCAGAGCCGGGAAGAGCCGGGTGGGCGGCTCTGGGTGCTCAAGGGTTGACACTGTGTCTTCCCTCCTCTCTCTTAAAGAGACCGCAGCACCTCCCCTGCTCTGGAATCAGCTGGGTGCTCTCTGGAGCTGACTGGGGAGGCCGTAGGTTTCACGCTGTGGGTCTTTGGAGGCCCCTGCAGGACCAAGGGGCTTGTAGGACTCGAGGGCATTCCCCAAAGTGTGCCTGAGGCCCCTTTAGGGCAGCTCCTATCAATAAAAGAAGGTGCTGAGTGCTTTGAGGGCCAACCAGCTAAGCGGGGAGATGCCATTCAGTCCCTAGCCCACCTGGGTCCCCTGGGAAACCCTGCTTGGGAGGGCAAAAGTGCAGCTTCCAGGAATTTTGTGAGCGTGGGGTTCAGGGGCAACTGGGACACACCAAACCCAAGGCAGGAAAATCAGAACTTTTCTTTTTCTGCGTTTAATGATTAAAATGTATTGACCCAGCTGTAAGCCGGTGCCGGGGGTGGTGGTGATTATTCCACGAACACTTGCCGAGCCTGTGCCTGGTTCTGTTTCTCCTCTCAGGGCACAGCCCTCTTTTTTTGTCCAGTCCACAGTCCCTCCCGCCTCTTTCCCTAGCTTCTCAGTCTCTGGGGTTGGGGGGCAGTGAGGACCTTGGGTGGTTGCAGCATGATTTCTTCCTGATAATCGAATTGAATGTGGCACCCCCTTCCCTATCACGTGCCCACATTTTAAGGAGCAGCCAGGTCTCAACAAAATTTCATTTTTGCAAAACAAACAAACAAAAAACACAAAAACCCTCAGAGACTGCCAACTAAGTTTGTATTTCAAGAAAGAGACCAGTAAAGTGTAGCTCCAGGAACGTGTCTTTTTTGCATATGTAAGCAGCTGCCTCTGAGGCTCTATAAATATCGATAACCCCCGGGCCCTGGTCTATAAAAGCCTCCTTCTGCTGAGGGGTGGAGGGTTCAAGCCCAAGGTAGTCCCCAGGCCACCCTGGGGCCCTCAGCCTGGTCAGGGCCTGTGGAGTTCATAGTAATGTGCTACTATAGTGTGTTGCAAACTCTGCTGCCCACCTGGCCCCAGATATTTAACAAACTGGGCTTCCCCTCCTCTCACTGCAAACCCCTGGGTATTGAGCAGAAAGGGGAAGATGTGGCTCTTTGGGCACCATGGCCCAGGTAATGCAGGGGTTGGGGGGGCTTGGTGTCGCGGGTGGCAGTTCTGGGTTTGGCTTTGGGGGAGTCTCAGCCCCAGGAGGCATTAGCTTCTGGATCTCAGGATCAGAAAAATGGTGCAGCTCAGCAGCTTTCTTAAAGAGGTGAGAACCCTGAGTGAGGTGCAGAGGGGTGGGAACTCAGGGCCACACAGCCTCCCTAGGACTGGGGTCTGGGGCACAAGGGACCCACCGGGGTGCCACACAGGTTGGAATCCCTGTGGGGGCTCCTCTATCCTGGAACCTCACTGAGTCCCCTCTTTCCTGCTCGTCCACAGGGGAAACCCGAATGCGGTTCTATGAACTGTTGGTCACTGGCCGATATACCCCCCAGACTCTCCCAGTGGGCGAGCTGGATGCTGTCTCTCCAATCGTGAATGAGACCCTGCAGGTGGGTTTATGGCCGTCAGTCTGCCCCATCGCCAGCTCTTCGATGTGCCCTCCTCCTCTGGAAAGCCTCACCAACTCTCTGATAGGACCCCCAGCCTACCCCCACCTCACTGTCTCCAGCTTTGGAGGCCAAGGCCTAGGAGGGTGTGAAACCCAGCCATGCCCCCCACAATTGGGAGCAGGGCCTAGAGCCCCATTTTCCTAAGCTCTCCTGCAGTGGGGCTCCGAGGGATTGGTTCTGTTTCCTGTGGCTTCTCCCCTCCCAGCACAGGCTGCGATTCCCACAGACCCAGAGCCTGCCCGGGCCCGCTTTTCCACGTTGATGCCAAACATTGCTGTTTCTTAGTGGGTCCTTAGTGTCTGGTGTCCTGGGCATGCCACTACCCCTAAACCCAGAAACCAGAGTTCATGCCCTGCCTTCCGGAGCAAGACTGACTCCTTCCAGACCACTGCCTCCTAGGACCCAGGGACGATTCTCGCATGGGGCGAGTCTCATGCCAGCTCCTCTCTGGCATCAAGCTGACTAGCTGCCACTGGCCTGTTTATCACTTTATTTTTATTTTATTTGCTTTTTTGAGACGGAGTCTCGCTCTGTTCCCAGGCTGGAGTGCAGTGGCAAGATCTTGGGTCACTGCAGCCTTTGCCCCCGGGGCTCAAGTGATTCTCTTGCCTCAGCCTCTTGAGTAGCTGGGATTACAGGCACCCACCACCACACCTCACTAATTTTTGTATTTTTGGTTAGTAGAGATGGGGTTTCACCATGTTGACCCAGGCTGGTCTTGAACTCCTGACCTCAAGTGATCTACCCGCCTCGGCTTCCCAAAGTGCTGGGATTACAGGCATGAGCCACCGTGCCTGGCCTCTGTTTATCACTTTAAATCCTAAAACACTGGGTGGTTAGGAGGATAAAGCCCTTGGCCATCCTCTCGTGCACAAGATTGTAGTTCTTGGTCATAATCCTGCCTGGAAAGTCTTTGATTTCTGACAGCCTGAGGCAAAAAGAAAATCCCAGCCTAAACCAAGATGTTATGGTCTTCTCTTTTCTGTGTCTCCTCTGGGATTAGGAAAAACCCTCAAGGTTCCCTGAACATATTTCGCTACCCCTAAGATTAGAGAAAAAGTTAGTACCATCATGACACTCCTCAATCTCCCCTTCTTCCATTCCTTATGCTGCAGTTCTAGAGCAGTTGGGCTCTGAGCTCCCCAGCAGCCAGAGTGAGAAGGGAAAACAGCCCTGTTCCATTGCACGTTTTCCCCTAGTGGTCTCACATCTCTGTCTCTCCTTAGCTGTCAGATGCCCTGAAGCGCCTCAAGGATGGAGGCCTATCTGCAGGCTGTGGCTCCGGCTCCTCCTCTGTCACCCCCAATAGTGGTGGGACACCCTTCTCCCAGGACACAGCTTACTCCAGCTGCCGCCTGGACACACCCAACTCCTATGGACAGGGCACCCCGCTCACACCGCGCCTGGGCACCCCTTTCTCACAGGACTCTAGCTACTCCAGCCGCCAGCCCACACCCTCATACCTCTTCAGCCAGGACCCGGCAGTCACCTTCAAGGCCCGGCGCCATGAGAGCAAGTTCACCGACGCCTACAACCGCCGCCATGAACATCATTATGTCCACAATTCTCCCGCGGTCACTGCGGTGGCTGGGGCCACAGCCGCCTTCCGGGGTTCCTCAGACCTCCCGTTCGGAGCAGTCAGCAGCACTGGGGGCAGCAGTGGCCCCCCCTTCAAGGCCCAACCACAGGATTCGGCCACATTTGCCCACACTCCACCACCTGCCCAGGCAACCTCTGCTCCTGGATTCAAGTCTGCTTTCTCTCCATATCAGACCCCAGTGGCCCACTTCCCTCCACCCCCAGAAGAGCCCACAGCCACAGCCACAGCCACCTTTGGGGCCCGCGACAGCGGGGAGTTCCGGAGGGCACCAGCGCCCCCACCCCTGCCACCTGCTGAGCCTCTGGCCAAGGAGAGGCCAGGCACGCCACCCGGCCCTCCGCCCCCCGACACCAACAGCATGGAGCTGGGGGGCCGGCCCACCTTCGGCTGGAGTCCTGAGCCCTGTGACAGCCCCGGCACGCCCACGCTGGAGTCATCCCCTGCAGGGCCAGAGAAGCCCCACGACAGCCTGGACTCGCGCATTGAGATGCTGCTGAAGGAGCAGCGCACCAAGCTGCTCTTCCTGCGGGAGCCAGACTCCGACACTGAGCTGCAGATGGAGGGCAGCCCCATCTCCTCCTCCTCCTCCCAGCTCTCCCCACTGGCCCCCTTTGGTACCAACTCCCAGCCAGGCTTCCGAGGCCCCACGCCCCCCTCCTCACGCCCCTCCAGCACTGGCCTGGAGGACATCAGCCCAACACCCCTGCCAGACTCCGATGAGGATGAGGAGCTCGACTTGGGCCTTGGGCCTCGGCCTCCACCCGAACCAGGCCCCCCGGACCCTGCTGGGCTTCTGGGCCAGACAGCTGAGGTGGCCTTGGACCTGGTTGGAGACAGAACACCGACCTCAGAGAAGATGGATGAGGTACCACCGTGTCTGTCCATGTGTCTGGGACTGGTTTTGTCTATCTTATATGTCCCTTTCCCCCCTCAAGCATTTAGCATGACTAGCTAAGATGCAGAAGCAATGGGGCTAGGAAAGCCAATATAACAGGTGGAACTTAGAGAATAAAAAGGGGATGCAAAAAACACCAAGGGCTGTGATTGAGCAATTGGTTTGGCAGTGAGCTCCCTAGCAGCCATGGAGAGAAGGAAAGCATGGCCTAGTTCTGATGCCCTCCTTGTTAGGTAAGAAGTCAGCTTCTCCTAGGGATAAATTCTGGCCTGAGCCTCTTTGGTAGGAGTTTGCTGAGGTTTCAGAGAGTATGAGCCGTGGGGATGGCTCTTGGTCCCCTTGTCTGTTGCGTGACTTGGGAACAATCAGGGAGAGTCTTGGCAGGCAGAGGGGAGGAGAGAAATTGGCCAGAGTACTGTGCTGAGCTAAGTGGGGTGAAGCCCCGGAGCACTGTCTCCTAGAGTCTGGTGCCCTCTGAGGAGGGAGAAACCATGGCAGACAGGGAGGGTGCTGAAGTTTCCCTCCTTCTCCCACTGGCTCCAGGGATGAAGGAGTTAAGAGCTAACTTGGGGTGGGGGTGGGGCGCCATTTTGCGAGAAACAGGCAAAGTTGACCATCCCCCACCCTCTCCTCAGGTCTTGGGGTCTCACTGCCTAAACCGCCAGCCTCAGGTAGTCCCGTCCAGGGATTGGGTTGGGGTGAAGGTGCCACGTGCCACGTTCCCTTGGGAGGGTGCTGGGTCATCCTCCTTGCTCCACTCTTCCTCCTCGGTCCAGTCACCTGCTTTGGAGCCGCAGCCCCGGTGGGCATGGGCAGCCAGGGGCTTAGACAGAGCTCTGTGTCCCTGTGGGCGGAGGGGAGGAGGACTGCCCCCTTCTTAGGCCCTTTGATTAGGCGGGTCTGGCTGCCTCAGGGAGGAACGAGAGGAACTTGGCTTGCCTGGGAGGGTGCCGCAGGTGGCTGGGGCTCCAGGGGGCCTCCAGGCAGTTCTGGGGAAGTGGTTTCTGGCATCAAGGGGTCCAGGCAGGGGGCCTTGGCAGGGGGCGTTGACAGGTGTGCAGCTGTAGGGGGGCCGCCGGCCCTGGCACCCTCCTCCTCCGCTCCGTCCAGGCTGCCTGGGGTGAGGAGTGTTTACCATGCTGACGATGGTCCAGGGCTGAGAGGCCCGGAGTGGCTGGAGCGAAAGGCAGGCAGAGGCCCCAGGAGCGGGGGTCTGGGACTGCCCGGCCGCCAGCGCGAGTCCTGGGAAGCTTCAGGCCGGCCCGCGGGCGCCCCCTGCTGGCACCGGGGACTAGTGCCTGGGCTTCCTGCGGCTGAGCGCAGTGCGGGGAGCTGGACCCTGTCCCAGCCTAGGCTGAGGTTGAGGTGGGGGAGCGGCGCAGGCGGGGCCAGTCGGGGGTGCAGGGGAAGCTTTTCTACTAAACAGTGGCTGGTCGTTAAAAGTTCAGGCTCAAGTCCTTGAGTCCCGCTAAGCCACCTACTGGTTATGTGACCCTGGGGAAGGCACTTTGCCCTTCTGAGTCTCAGTTTCGTCATCTGCCAAATGGGCCTCTGAGAGTCCCTGCAGCACAGGGCCTCAGCTTAAGTGAGGTGCTGCATGGGATGCTCCAGGCACCGCCAGGCCTGCTGGGCTCCCGGTGCTCAGCAAATTCCTGCCACTTCTCACCCCGGGACTGCTGGGCGGAGGGAGGGGCAGGGCCGGCCAGGGCTGGAGCGCAGGATCCGCCTCCCTGTGATTGGCTGGCGGCGGTGGCGGCGGCGGCCCTGGTTAACCCTCTGCGTGCCGCGGCGCGCTGTGCTGGGCGCCGTCCAGGACTGATCTGGGGAGTGCTCTTTGAGGGTCCACCCGAGCCCGCCTGTCTCTTCTTGATGTGCATGGGGATCCTGAGAAGCAGAATGTGTGCGTGTGTATGTGTGTATGTGTGTGTGTGTGTGTGTGCGCACGCACACAGAGGGGACCTAGTAAAGTCCAGAGCTTCCTGCTGCTGCCTGAGTTTTGGTAGTCCCCCTCCTCCTACTCCCACACCTGCAGTTGCCCTCTGAGGCCTTCCTCATCTGTAGTCTGACCTCTGATCCTGCAACTTGTACAGATTTCACCTCCACCCCCATTCCCCCTCAGCCTTCAAAGGTCCCCCCACCCCAATTCCAGGCCTGTCCACTCAGCTCCCTAAAGCCCCACGCCCATCCTTGACACCTCCCACATTCACCCCTCACCACCTCCCTGGATCCCAGCTGCAGCCCGGCACTGGGCAGGTCCCTGGCTCCAGCTCTTCTTCTGACTGGCTGTGCCGTGGGCTCTGAGTGTGTTTACTAACTGTCAAAGGGGGTCAGAGCAGAGACCCCACCCCCCCCCCCCCCCCCGTGAGGTTATCTTTGGGATAAGAAATGAAACAGCCGTCTGCAGCGCTTAGCCCCACGCGGGCCCATACTGAGTGTGCAGTCACGAGACTAGGTGAAAGGAGTAATCAAGGAAAAATAAATAACAACATACTTCCTGTTTATGGGCCTTAGTCACCTTTTCTGCCTGGCCGTCTGCTGTAGAGTGAGGACAGCAGGCTCACCGAGAGCACAGGCCGTGGAACCACTTCCTGGTTCAAATCCCGGCTCCATCTCTTCTTGGCTGTGTGGCCTTGGGCAGGTTACTTAAATTCTCTGTGCCCCAGTTTCCTTGTGGGGCAAAAATAGAGTTGAAAATAGGGCTGTTCTGAGGTTTAGCTGAGTTAATAAATGTGGAGTGTTTAGAAAGGCCCTGGCACATGAGAGATGCTGTGGAAGTGGCAACTATTTCTGCATACAAGTTGCAACAGAATCTCTGAAATTGCAACAGTGTCATCCTCTGTGCCCCACCCCTCTCCTTGCCTTCTTTCGCTCCCTCACGTTTCCCGTCTTCACCCTCATCATCCTTTGTCTGGTCCTGCTGGCTCTGCTCCCTGAGAGTAAGATGTTTGTCTGCCTCTTCATCTCTGTGTCCCCAGCACCTAGATCAGTGCCTGGCACACAGGTACTGAGCAAATGTTTGTTGAATTAGAATGAATGAATGAATTCTAGTGGTAACTCCTCGCGGCAGGGACTGTGATGCCCATTTTGCAAATGAAGAAGCTGAGGCTTGGAGAGGCTGAATGGCTTGCACTGGGTCACACAGCTGGGAGTGCCACTGATTGCTAGTCTTGAAGAGGGGACTCCGAGAGCCACTTGGCCTTCCAGACTCACCTTATTGTCTCTCCCTGCTCTCTCTGCAGGGCCAGCAGTCCTCAGGCGAGGACATGGAGATCTCGGATGACGAGATGCCCTCAGCCCCCATCACCAGCGCCGATTGCCCCAAGCCCATGGTGGTGACCCCAGGAGCAGCAGCCGTGGCAGCCCCTTCCGTGCTGGCCCCAACCTTGCCGCTGCCCCCGCCACCCGGCTTTCCCCCGCTCCCCCCACCCCCACCACCACCCCCACCGCAGCCTGGCTTCCCCATGCCCCCACCGCTGCCCCCACCCCCACCCCCACCCCCTCCAGCCCACCCTGCTGTGACAGTGCCCCCGCCACCCCTGCCAGCGCCACCTGGAGTCCCGCCTCCTCCCATCCTGCCACCGCTGCCCCCCTTTCCGCCGGGCCTGTTCCCTGTGATGCAGGTGGACGTGAGCCACGTGCTGGGCGGCCAGTGGGGCGGCATGCCCATGTCCTTCCAGATGCAAACGCAGGTGCTCAGTCGGCTGATGACGGGCCAGGGCGCCTGCCCCTACCCGCCCTTCATGGCCGCCGCAGCCGCTGCTGCCTCAGCTGGGCTCCAGTTCGTCAACCTGCCGCCCTACCGGGGCCCCTTCTCCCTGAGCAACTCCGGCCCAGGCCGCGGGCAGCACTGGCCACCACTGCCCAAATTTGACCCATCAGTGCCTCCACCAGGCTACATGCCGCGCCAGGAGGACCCGCACAAAGCCACGGTGGATGGCGTCCTGCTGGTGGTCCTCAAAGAGCTCAAGGCCATCATGAAGCGTGACCTGAATCGCAAGATGGTGGAAGTGGTGGCTTTCCGGGCCTTCGACGAGTGGTGGGACAAGAAGGAGCGGATGGCCAAGGTGGGTGGGTGGGTGTGGATGGGAGCAGGACCCCAGTCAGGCACCTCCTGTTTCCCTGAGACTGTTAACTGGAAACACTGCCATGGACCCCAGTATGGGAGCTGCAGTTCATGTGGCTACTTTCAAAGTTCCGCAAACTGTGCTCTGCTTTAGCAGCCGCTGGATGCATGTGGCTCTTTGAATTTAAATTAATGGTCAGGCATGGTGGCTTACACCTTTAATCCCAGCACTTTGGGAGGCTGAGGTGGGAGGATTGCTTGAGCCTAGGAGTTCAAGACCAGCCTAGGTAGTATAGCAAGAGCCCATCTCTAAAAATAAAAGTGTAAATTAATTTAAATTAATTAATTAAAAAAGAGTAAAATTTAAAACTCCTCCTTTGTCCCTGCCACATTTCAAGTGCTCAGGAGCCACAGGTGCCTAGTGGCCGCACACAGGACACCTGGTGCAGGCTGTCCCCACCGTCGCAGACAGCTCACAGCTGCGACACCCTTTGAATTTGACTCCCCTCGCCTCCCCTCATGCCGCCTTTTACACGGAGCCCTGCCTTGGCTTGGACCACTTTTTTCTTTTTTTTTTTTGTTGATGGAGTCTCACTGTGTCACCCTGGCTGGAGTGCAATGGCGTGATCTCAGCCCTCTGCAGCCTCCACCTCCTGGGTTCAAGCGATTCTCCTGCCTCAGTGTCCTGAGTAGCTGGGACTACAGGCACCCACCACCATGTCTGGCTAATTTTTGTATTTTTAGTAGAGACGGGCTTTCACCATGTTGGCCAGGCTGGTCTTGAACTCCTGACCTCAAGTTATCGACGTGCTTCAGCCTACCAAAGTGCTGGGATTACAGGTGTGAGCCACCGCGCCTGGCCTCTTTTTTTCTTTTTAACATATTATTTGCCTATTTGTAATCTTACAAATAATCTAAAATGACTTCCTTTCTCCATAAGAGAGAACTTTTTCTTGAGTACTTTAAACTCCCCTCAATCACTACACTCCACACCATTCCCCCTGCTCCTCTCCCCCCAAGGGGTGACCATGGTTATGAGTTTGAGTGTCCCCTGGAGCCTGCTTTGGGAAATGCTTGCTCTCTGCCACACAGGTAAGCAACCCCATGTCAGAGCCTGTTTGTCATCGTATAACTGGGTAGTAAAATTAGAATGAACCGTCTGAAGTCACTGATACACAGCTCTTTATGGTTCAGCCAATTTACACTGACCCTACAGTAACAGCTAATAGCTATTCCATTCACAATTTGAATAAAAAGAGCCACCAGACCTCATGTGCCCTGCACCTTGCAAAGCTCTTCATGTGGCTCGTTTTGTTAATTCTCACAGCATCCCTTTGAAGGCAGAGCATTTCAGAACCACAGGGGCAACCCCTTAGGGAGCAGTGACATAAAGCCAGCAGGTCCTGTTTTTAATACATGGGAAGAGAGAGTGGGGATAGTGTAAATCTTACCTTGTGAAGGTGGTGGTGCAGCTGTGGCACAGATGTGTCCCTATGGTGTTGTTTTTGGATTGTCTGCAAAGTACAAAGGCCACTGTTGTAAGGAAGGCAGCTGCAGTAGTCCTATTTTACAGGGGAGGACATTGAGGATCTGTGAGGTAGAGCGGTGCTCTGGAGCCTCCTGGGTAACGGCATAGTGTGGCCAGGCGTGTAGGGAATGAGGACGCAGTTACCTGTGGTGGCTGTTACTACCGAGCGGAAGGTAGCCCTGGGAGGGCTCCCTGCAAGGTTTGGTGGTGCCAGAAGCGGTAACGGGCCCCTCCTATCTCCACCCCAGGCCTCGCTGACCCCGGTGAAGTCCGGCGAGCACAAGGACGAGGACAGGCCGAAGCCCAAGGACCGCATCGCCTCATGCCTGTTGGAGTCATGGGGCAAGGGTGAGGGCCTGGGCTACGAGGGCCTGGGCCTGGGCATTGGGCTGCGTGGGGCCATTCGCCTGCCCTCCTTCAAGGTTAAGAGGAAGGAGCCACCAGACACCACCTCATCTGGCGACCAGAAGCGGCTGCGGCCCTCGACCTCTGTGGATGAGGAAGATGAAGGTTGGTGCTCTGGGTGTTGGGGTCCCCTTCTTCTGCATCCCCCCAGCCCAGCTCTGACTCCCTCCCTCCCTGCAGAGTCTGAGCGAGAGCGAGACCGGGACATGGCAGACACCCCCTGTGAGCTCGCCAAGCGGGACCCCAAGGGCGTGGGTGTGCGGCGGCGGCCGGCGCGGCCTCTGGAGCTGGACAGTGGTGGGGAGGAGGACGAGAAGGAGTCTTTGTCAGCATCCTCCTCCTCATCGGCGTCATCATCCTCGGGGTCCTCAACCACCTCACCCTCGTCCTCGGCCTCCGACAAGGAGGAGGAACAGGAGAGCACCGAGGAGGAGGAGGAGGAGGCAGAGGAGGAGGAGGAGGAAGGCCCCAGGAGCCACCTCTCCTCCTCCTCAACCTCATCCACATCAGATAAGGTACCTAACAGGCCAGGAAGCCTCAGGGGGCTGGGCCAGGCAACGAGGGCCAGGCCCTTCGGCTCACCTGTCCCCACCCTTCCCTCTCCCACAGGATGACGACGATGATGACAGTGATGACCGGGACGAGTCTGAGAACGATGACGAAGACACAGCCCTGTCAGAGGCAAGTGAGAAGGACGAAGGGGACTCGGATGAAGGTGAGCAGGGAGGCCGCAGCTGTCTGGCCCTCCTGGGGTCCCTCTTTCCCCAGGGCAGAGCCTGAGGAATTGTCAGAAATACTTTTGAGCCAAAATGTGCTTTTGAGACGTTACCTTGTTAAAACACACACATAGGGTGGCGTATGGTTCCATCTTCAGGGAGTGTCCTGAACAGAATGGCATGTCCATAGAGACAGAAAGCAGGTCTGTGGTCCTTAGGGCTAGAGAGCCTGGCGTTTGGGGGGGCTTGCTCAGCCTGCGTGACTTCCTTTTCAGCTGATGAAAATACTTAGGAACCAGATGTACTAAATGCTGCTGGAATTATCACTTTAAAACGAGCAGTTGGCCAGGCGCAGTGGCTCACACCTGTAATCCCAGCGCTTTGGGAGGCCTAGGCTGGTGGATCACCTGAGGGTAGGAGTTCAAGACCAGCCTGGCCAACATGGCGAAACCCCGTCTCTACTAAAAATACAAAAATTAGCCGGGCGTGATGGCGGGCGCCTGTAGTCCCAGCTACTGGGAAGGCTGAGGCAGGAGAATGGCATGAACCTGGGAGGCAGAGCTTGCAGTGAGCTGAGATTGCGCCACTGCACTCCAGCCTGGGCGACAGAGCGAGACTCCGTCTCAAAAAAAACAAAAAACAACAACAAAAAAACCGAGCAGTTTTCTGTTATGTTAATTTTACCTCAGTTTTTAAAAGTGACTACTGGTGGCTGGGTGTGGTGGCTCACTCCTGTAATCCCAGCACTTTGGGAGCCGAGGCAAATGGATCATCTGAGGTCAGGTGTTTGAGACCGGCCTGGCCAACATGGTGAAACCCCGTCTCTACTAAAAGTACAAAATTAGCCGGGCGTGGTGGCGCATGCCTGTAATCCCAGCTACTTGGGAGGCTGAGGCAGGAGAATCACTTGAACACAGGAAGTGGAGGTTACAGTGAGCTGAGATCGTGCCACTGCACTCTAGCCTGGGCAACAAGAGTAAAACTCCATCTCAAAAAAAAACAAAAACAAAAAGCTACTAGTGAATACACTCCCCACACACATATCTGAGCGTCATGTTCAACCTGGGTGCCGCCAGTTTGAGGCCATTGGTGAGGGGTCTGGGTGGGGCAGGGGCACAGTGGGTCCTCAGCAGCCCCTCCTCTGTGTCCCCCATCCAGAGGAGACAGTGAGCATTGTAACCTCCAAGGCTGAAGCCACGTCATCCAGCGAGAGTTCCGAGTCTTCTGAGTTTGAGTCAAGCTCCGAGTCCTCACCCTCATCCTCAGAGGATGAAGAGGAGGTAGCGACCAGGGAAGAGGAGGAAGAAGAAGAAGAGGAGGAGGCGATGGTGGCAGAGGAAAGCATGGCTTCTGCAGGCCCTGAGGACTTTGAGCAGGACGGGGCGGAAGCTTCTCTGGCCCCGGGGGCACCAGCAGTGGACTCGTTGGGCATGGAAGAGGAGGTGGACATCAAGACTGAGGCTGCGGCCCCTGAGGAGCGGGCCCCCATGCTGGATGAGCCCCCCTTGCCTGTGGGTGTTGAAGAGCCAGTGGACTCCAGGGAGCCCCCTGAGGAGCCAGGCCTGAGCCAGGAAGGGGCCATGTTGCTGTCTCCAGAGCCCCCTGTCAGGGAGGTGGAGGCCCGACCCCCAGTGTCCCCTGAGCGAGCTCCAGGTAACACCTGCAACCCCTTGGGAGGGTGGGGGGAGGGAGGCAGGAAGTCCTCACAGTCAGAATCAGCCCAGGCTTCCTTGGGTAGATCGCTGACCGTCCCCAGCCTCAGTTTCCCCTGTAAAATGAGATCAGTCAGTTGTGCCTCCCTTGAGCGAGATGAGGTGTTGGGTGCCAGCACGGAGCCTGGCACTGAGTAGATCAACCCAAAGGGGAACCACTGCTATTTGTCAGTCCTCACTGCCAGCGTTTCCCTGGTGGCTTGGTCCTTGGACCATCATTCCCATGAGATGCTCCCCAAAAGGAAGATGGGTGTCCATGGTTACGTTAGTGACAGGTGGGTGGGGGAGGCCCTGGGGTGCTGGGCCAGGTGAGGGCTGCGGGCGTCGCCCCCTCCAGCATTGTGATGAAGCTGCACAGAGCACACGAGAGGCTCTCACTGCATGGCCAGTAGAACTTCACACAGTGATGGCGGCATTCTGGAGCTGTGCTGTCCAGCACTGTAGCCTTCAGACACAGTGTTGTTACCACACTCTTGAAACATGGCCAGTGGCACAGTGGAACTAAATTTGTGATAGTGTTCAATTTATTTTGGCTTACATAGCTGCATGTGGTTAGCACCTACCTTTTTTTATGAGATGGAGTCTTCCTCTGTTGCCCAGGCTGGAGTGGCGTGATCTCAGCTCACTGCAAGCTCCGCTTCCCAGGTTCATGCCATTCTCCTGCCTCAGCCTCCTGAGTAGCTGGGACTACAGGCGCCCACCACCACACCCGGCTAATTTTTTGTATTTTTAGTAGAGACGGGGTTTCACGGTGTTGGCCAGGATGGTCTCGATCTCCTGACCTTGTGATCTGCCCGCCTCAGCCTCCCAAAATGCTGGGATTGCAAGCTTGAGCCACCGCGCCTGGCCTAGCACCTACCTTTAATAAGTCCCTCAGGAAAGGATTACAGCTGCTCCTGTTGTACATTGAACACATGGCTAGGGCCCACTGACGTGCAGTTTTCAACCAAACATGGACAGGAAAGACCGGTGGGATGCTAAACCCACCTATATGGAGGGCGACCGCCTGCCTGTCCATGAGTTCTGCAAGACGGACTACAAGCTTTGAGTATGTGCAGGTTTTGGTATACCAGGGAGTGCTGGAACCAATTCCCTGTGTGTATTGAGGGACGACTGTGTTTTGTTTTGTTTATTCCACCATTAACCACAGTCTTTGAGCATTGACTCAATATTAAGCCTCTATTGTGTCCCTGCTATTATTTTGAGCAGTAGCAATACAACAGTGGACCAAACAGACAAAAATATCTGCTCCCACGGAGCAGGGGAACAGATGACAACAGATCAATTAGAAAATGAAAAACAGGTGGCAGGCTCTTGTAATCCCAGCTACTTGGGAGGCTAAGGAAGAATTGCTTGAACCTGGGTGGCAGAGGTTGCAGTGACCCGAGATCGTGCCACACTGCACTCCAGCCTGGGCTATAGAGTGAGATTCTGTCTCAAAAAAAAAAAAAGAAAAAAGAAAAAGAAATGGGCCTGGCACAGTGTCTCACACTTGTAATCCCAGCACTGTGGGAAGCTGAGGTGGGCAGATCAGCTGAGGTCAGGAGTTTGAGACCAGCCTGGCCAACATGACGAAACCCTGTCTGTACTAAAAATACAAAAAATTAGCAGGGCGTTGTGGCACTGCCTGTAACCCCAGCGGTTCAGGAGGCTGAGGAAGGAGAATAGCTTGGACCTGGGAGGCAGAGGTAGCTTGCAGTGAGCCGAGATTGCTCTCCAGCCTGTGCAACAGAGTGAGACTCTGTCTCAAAAATAAAATAAAATAAAATAAAAATAAAAATGAAAAAAATGTATTCTGTGGTCAGGCATGGTGACTCACATCTGTAATTCCAGCATTTTGGGAGGCCAAGGCTGGTGGATCACTTGAGCCCAGGAGTTCAAGACCAGCCTAGGCAGCATAGTGAGAACCCATCCCCACAAAACATTTAAAAATTAGCTGGGTGTGGTGGCACATGCCTGTGGTCCCAGCTACTCAGGAGCCTTAGGCGGGAGGAGCCCTTGAGCCCTGGCGGTTTAGGCTACAATGACTCAACCATCGTGCCACTGCATTCCACCCGTCTCAAAAATAAAAAGTAAATTAGTTAAAAAATTAAGAAATGTATCCCGTGACAGTGGAGGTAAGTGCTAGGAAAAAAATCCTTAAAGGCTCTGACAAGTCCTGCAGAAAAGAAACTTGTTTAATTTTATTCAGTCATAGAGCAGATTTTCTTGGGCCACAGGGACTTCAGACTTTGTTCTGAAGACATAGTGTGAAAGGCTGGGATACATGTCTCCTGCATCTGTGATTTAGCCTACCAACATAGATAAAGGATATACTGTGTGCCTAACACTGGGTTGGGCGCCGAGCAGTCCTTGAGAGGTTTACTGGAGATGGACAGGTCCCGTGCTCAGACTCAGCTGTGAGCCAGCCAGGTATGGAGCACAGAATAAGGCACTGAGAGACGTTTGGATTGAATGGTAACTGTCTGGTGTTTGCTCACCTCTCTGCAGAGCATGACCTGGAAGTGGAGCCAGAGCCCCCTATGATGCTCCCCATGCCCCTGCAACCACCATTGCCGCCCCCACGACCACCCCGGCCACCCAGCCCACCGCCGGAGCCCGAGACCACAGACGCCTCACATCCATCTGTCCCTCTGGAGCACCCTGCTGAAGACCACCCCCCACATACTCCAGGCCTCTGTGGCAGCCTGGCCAAGTCGCAGAGCACAGAGACGGTGCCAGCCACACCAGGCGGGGAGCCCCCGCTATCAGGGGGCAGCAGTAGCCTGTCCTTGAGCTCTCCGCAAGTGCCCGGCAGCCCCTTTTCCTACCCAGCCCCGTCCCCTGGCTTGAACAGTGGGGGCCTCCCTCGGACACCTGGCCGGGACTTCAGCTTCACACCCACCTTCTCCGAGCCCAGTGGGCCGTTGCTTCTGCCCGTCTGCCCCCTCCCCACTGGCCGACGTGATGAACGCTCCGGGCCCCTGGCCTCCCCGGTGCTCCTGGAGACGGGCCTGCCCCTCCCTCTGCCCCTGCCCCTGCCCTTGCCCTTGGCATTACCCGCTGTCTTGCGGGCCCAGGCTCGTACCCCCACCCCGCTGCCGCCCTTGCTGCCCGCCCCCCTGGCCTCTTGTCCACCCCCAATGAAGAGAAAGCCGGGCCGGCCCCGGCGATCCCCACCATCTATGCTCTCCTTGGATGGGCCCTTGGTCCGGCCACCAGCAGGGGCCGCCCTTGGAAGGGAACTCCTGCTCCTGCCGGGCCAGCCGCAGACCCCCGTCTTCCCCAGCACTCACGACCCCCGGACAGTGACCCTGGATTTCCGGAACGCGGGGATCCCAGCCCCTCCACCCCCCCTTCCCCCCCAGCCACCCCCACCCCCACCTCCCCCACCTGTAGAGCCCACCAAGCTGCCCTTTAAGGAGCTAGACAACCAGTGGCCCTCCGAGGCCATCCCTCCAGGCCCCCGTGGGCGTGATGAGGTCACTGAGGACTACATGGAGTTGGCCAAGAGTCGGGGGCCGTGGCGCCGGCCACCTAAGAAGCGCCATGAGGACCTGGTGCCACCTGCGGGCTCGCCCGAACTCTCGCCACCCCAGCCCCTCTTCCGGCCCCGCTCGGAGTTTGAGGAGATGACCATCCTGTATGACATCTGGAACGGTGGCATCGACGAGGAGGACATCCGCTTCCTATGTGTCACTTACGAGCGACTGCTGCAGCAGGACAATGGCATGGACTGGCTTAACGACACACTCTGGGTCTACCATCCCTATATCCTGCCAGCATGTGGGGCTCTGCACCTTCTGGGATGTGGGAGGTCCCCACTCACCTCTCTGGGCCCCACCTCCCAGTCTGTAGCAGCCCACGGTCCCTGTGAAGGTGACAGCACGCACCACCGTCACTTCCCAAGCGGGGTTTGTGTGCCAGCACCATGCCAGGCTCCAGAGTGAATCATCATTGGCACGTTTTAAGGACTCCTCTGCCAGGCCCATCTCACCCCCAGAGTTAGCAGGTCTCGGGGCCATATGTAACAGCAGTGCTGTGCAGCTTAACAGCACACAAGGGCTGAGGGCTTCCTTGTCCCCTTCATAACCTCCCAGTAGCCTGGTGAGATAGGGGTATGATTCCCATTTTACTAAGGCTCAGAGAGGTTCAGTGACCTGTCCAAAGTCACACAGCTACAAGTGGCAGAGTTGAGATTTGAACCCAGGCAAACCTGGTTCTAGAGTCCAGGCTTTTCACGACCAGGCTTTCATGGGGCTTGGTGGTTCGCATAGGTCTATGAGGCTAGACCTCTCATTATCCCTGTTGTATTAGACTGATTTGTGAGCACTCAGTTTGTGTCAAGAGCTCTGCTCAATGCCGGGCACCATGGCTCACAGCTGTAATCCCAGCACTATGGGAGGCTGAGGCGGGTGGATCACTTGAGGCCGGAAGTTTGAGACCAGCCTGGCCAACGTGGCAAAACCCCATCTCTACTAAAAATACAAAAGTTAGCCGGGTGTGGTAGCACATGCCTATAATTCCAGCTACTCTGGAGGCTGAGGCAGGAGAATTGCTTGAACCCGGGAGGCATAGGTTGCAGTAAGCCAAGATCGCACCATTGCACTCCAGCCTGGGCGACAGAGTGAGACTCTGTCTCAAAAAACACAAAACTCTGCTAAGGACCATAAGCATATTTCATCACTTACAGAGGCATCACTGTCACCCCAATTCACAGATGGGAAACTGAGCAGAAAATGGTTAACACACCCAGCACTTTGGGAGGCCAAGGTGGACGGATCGCTTGGTCTCTGGAGGTCGAGGCCGGCCTGGGAAACGTAGCAAAACCCCATCACTACAAAAACCAGAAATTAGCTGGCTGTGGTGGTGCATGCCTGTAGTCCCAGCTGCTCAGGAGGCTGAAGCTGCAGTAAGCTGAGATTGCACCACTGCACTCGAGCCTGGGCAACAGGAGACCATGTCTCAAAAGACACCCAGAGTCATGCAAGTAGGTCTTGACCGTCAGCGGGCAGCCGTGTGGAGGTGGCATGGGAGTGGGCAGTAGAACTGGACATCGCTGTCCCCGGAGGGTGGTCTGAGGATGGGCGGGACCAGTCTATGAAGGGACCAGGAGGGACTCTCTGAGAATGTCCATGTGGCCCTTGACCCACACCCACCCACCAGCCTCTCTTCAGCTAAGAAAAAGAAACGGGACGATGGCATTCGCGAGCACGTGACAGGCTGTGCCCGCAGCGAGGGCTTCTACACCATCGACAAGAAGGACAAGCTCAGATACCTCAACAGCAGCCGTGCCAGCACCGATGAGCCCCCCGCAGACACCCAGGTACTGCCAGGGCTCCTGGACACATCAGAGCCGGCTGGGCCATGGGGATCCAGGGCGCTCATGGAGGGGTGCCGGGCAGAGGGAGGAGTTGTGAGGCCAGAGGAGCTGGCACACAGAGTGTGCAAGTGGAAGGGGAGAGGCGGGTGGGCAGGGCCTAGGAGAAGGAAGGAATCTGCCTTAGTCCCGTGGACCCTGGAGCACCTCCCAAGGGTTTAATCAAGGATGTGACGGAGCTCTGTTTCCACAAGTTCATTCATTTTTTGTTTGTTTTTTGCTTGGCTGTTTTTGAGACAAAGCCTTGCTCTGTCACCCAGGCTGGAGTGCAGTGGCACGATCTCAGCTCACTGCAACCTCTGCCTCCTGGGTTCAAATGATTCTCCTGCCTCAGCCTCCCGAGTAGCTGGGATTACAGGTGCCGGTCACCATGCCTGGCTAAATTTTTTGTATTTTTAGTAGAGATGGGAGTTCGCCATATTGGGCAGGTTGGTCTTGAACTCCTGACCTCGAGTAATCTGCCTGCCTTGGTCTCCCAAACTGCTGGGATTATAAGCACGAGCCACATCGCCTGGCCTCATTCATTCTTTTTTAATCCAGCAAATATCTATTGAGTACATGCTGTGTACCAGGCACTGTTCTGGGTCTATAGCAGTGAACAACACCAAATCTTTTTCCTCATGGAACTTAATTATTTATTTTTATTTTTAAATTAAAAAAATTGAGACGGGGTCTCACTGTGTAGCCCAGGCTGATCTGGAACTCCTGGGTTCAAGTGATCCTCCTGCCTCAGCCTCCCAAAGTTCTGGGATTATAGGCGTGAGCCACGGTGCCCGGCTGGAGTTTATATTTTCGTGGGGACTTGTGGGAAATAATCAAGTGAACAAAGAAGCACGTAATGCCAGGCAGGGAAAATGTGATGGAGAAAACAGGAGAGGGGTTAGGGATTTCCAAGTCAAAGGGGAGTCAGAGGGTCAGACCCAAGCAAAGTGCGGGAAGGTGCCATGCGGATGCCAAAGAGACCACAGAAGTGAAAAAGCAACTTTCATAAGAAGTTAAAACCAGAGAGGGGCTCACTGACCCCAGCAGACCTCCCTAGGACAGCAGCGGTGCAAAGGCCCTGAGGCAGCGGGGAGCTCCTTGGTGTGAGGGAGGGAAAGGAGAGGCTACTTGTGGTGCGAAAGACAGCTCAGGCCACTAGGGTGGGGGGGACTGTGGTAGTGAGTGACCTGTCTCCTGGGGTGACAGGCAGCAGAGGGAGGTTCTGAGAGGAGCTGGGGTGGTATGGAGCTGGCGCAGGGGTCCCGAGGGCAGACTGTGCTGCAGTTTCCAGACTGGACATGCGGACGTGCTGGACGTGAGGAGAGGTGGATGCCTGTGGAAGAATATGAGGAAGTGGGATGGACAGGACTGGGGCTGGACTGGGTACAGGAGACAGGGATGGGTGGGGGGTGCTGGGAAGCTGGACACCGGACCTGAGATGGGGAGGCTGATATGCTGTCACCACGAGGCAACTTGAGTTCTGCGGATTCTGAAAACACCCAGGCAGAGAGGTCTTGATGGGCATATGGGTATGGCGGAACTTAGGATGGGGATCTCCAGCCTGGCGACCTAAGTGTGGGTATCGCCAGGAGAGAAGTGGTGACTGAAGGTCACAACAGGGTGACCTCACCTGGGAGGGCACATGGGGCAGAGGCCTGGGATGCTCCAAAGGTTAATGGGTGGGGCAGAGGCCAAGAGCAGGACGTGACACGAGGGTTTCGGAAGGATCCCCAATTTCGAATGCTTGGGGGTCGGAGGGGTCTGGGTGAGAGCCAAGCAGGGGGGGTCAGGGTAGACAAAGCTTTGGGCTGAAATGGGGAAAAGACAGCGCCAGGCAAGGGTGAGTCTCGTTGTGAAGATAGGAGCGTGAGCACACTCAGATACTGATGGGATGGAGGAGGCAGGGAGGCAGTGACAATTAGGGACAGGCAGGTGTGGAGAAACCCAGAGAAAGGAGCCCAGGATGCTGGGGATGACACAGATCCAGAGCTTAGGGTGGGACAGCCGAGGACACGACCAGCCCTGCTGAGCCCCTGCACACCGTCCTCTGCAGGGCATGAGCATCCCAGCACAGCCCCACGCCTCCACCCGGGCAGGCTCGGAGCGGCGTTCGGAGCAGCGCCGCCTGCTGTCCTCCTTCACTGGCAGCTGTGACAGCGACCTGCTCAAGTTCAACCAGCTCAAGGTGAGGCCGGGCTTCACCTAGATCCCGGGGTGGCGGCAGGACCTGAGACCGGGGCTCACCTCTCCCCGTCTTCCCTCCTGCAGTTCCGGAAGAAAAAGCTCAAGTTCTGCAAGAGCCACATTCACGACTGGGGCTTGTTCGCCATGGAGCCTATCGCGGCTGACGAGATGGTCATCGAGTACGTGGGCCAGAATATCCGTCAGGTAGGCACTGCCCGGCAGGGTGGGCATGGGGCCGGGTATGGGGCCAGCCCAGCCAGACTGACACCCTTTTGTGGTCAGGTGATCGCAGACATGCGGGAGAAGCGTTATGAGGACGAGGGCATCGGGAGCAGCTACATGTTCCGGGTGGACCACGACACCATCATCGACGCCACCAAATGCGGCAACTTCGCGCGCTTCATCAACCACAGCTGCAACGTGAGTGCCCAGCCGGGGGTGGCCCTGCCCCTGCCCCTGGCCCTGCTTCTGTGCCAGGAGGGCCTGGAAGCCCCGTCACGGTAGTGTCATCAGCTTGGCCTCCTTTCCAAGCTCAGGTTGGTCAAAGGTTATAGGGAGAGGAGGACATGTGAGGTCTACCAGGAGATCTACTCTGAGCTTCAGTTTCTCATCTGTGAAATAGGCATAGTGAGACTTCTGTGGCATGTAGAGGACTCAAATAAGTGGTTGGTTCAGTTCATTGGTAATTACGGAGTTGTTTCTCCAACGTTAGCCTTTTCTCCCTGCCTTCATTGGTCGGGCTCAGCCCTGCTCGGGCCGAGCTGTCCACCAGAACTTTCTGCAGGGGGGAGGGGGAGGTACACTACCTGCATCTGTGCTGTGGGTTAGCCACGTGTGTGGTGCTGAGCACTGGAAATATGCCCAGTGCATCTGGGGACCTGAGTTTTAAATTTTATTTCATTGTGATGAATTTAAACTTAATTAGCGGCCGGGTGCGGTGGCTCAAGCCTGTAATCCCAGCACTTTGGGAGGCCGAGACGGGCGGATCACGAGGTCAGGAGATCGAGACCATCCTGGCTAACCCGGTGAAACCCCATCTCTACTAAAAAATACAAAAAATCTAGCCGGGCGAGGTGGCGGGCGCCTGTAGTCCCAGCTACTCGGGAGGCTGAGGCAGGAGAATGGCGTAAACCCGGGAGGCAGAGCTTGCAGTGAGCTGAGATCCGGCCACTGCACTCCAGCCTGGGTGACAGAGCGAGACTCCGTCTCAAAAAAAAAAAAAAATAAATAAATAAATAAACTTAATTAGCTTGTGACAACCGTATCGGGTGGTACAGGCCTAGAGGGGAGGGACACTGATAACAGGGATTTGAGTGCTGAAGGATAAGCGCAGGAAGCTCCGAGCAGGAGGCAGGCATGTTCCGGGCTGGATGCCCCTGACTTTGGGCTTGAGTCTTGGCATCGCAGCTTAGTGAGTTGCTTGATGTCTCTGTGCCTTAGTTTCCTTGTCTGTAAAACAGGGACAATAACAGTTGCTCCTTGTAGGTTGTTAGGAGGGCCACATACATGGGTCACTGCCTGTGGGCCCTTTGAGTGCTGGCCAAGTCGGTCCTCAGTGCCTGCTGGCTCTCTCTGTTGTGACTTGATCCTTGCCTGGGTGGTAGGGACTTTCCTGTGAACATCCAAGGAGATCTGAGGGGTGAGAGGGAATTGCCCAGGGGAAGCGGTGCTGGGGCAAGGGGAACTGTGTGTTCAAAGGCCCTGGGGCAGTGGGAAGAACACCTGTTTGAGAGACAGCAAGGGAGGCAGTGGGCATCGGGTAGGGTAAGAGGACGGGGTGGGCAGGCTGTGGGTGGTCAAGCTGAGGAACTGTTTCTCTGAGAGCCAAGGTCGCTGGAAGGTTGGCGCTATCGGGCGACAGGTTCTGCTGTCCCTTTGGAAGCATTTCCCTGGCTGCTGGGGCAGGAGTGGGTTTTTTCAGGGGTGAGAGTGGCCGAGGGGCCTGTAGCAGGTGGGTGTGCAGTAATAAGGCCCTGAGCGTGGCTGGTGACCCCAGAAGTGGAGAGCAGTAGACACAACCAAGAGGTCCTTCTGGGACTGAACTCACTATCCCTGGTGGGGGCCAGATCTGGACTGAAGAAGGCAGGGAGGCAGATGCTCTGGGGCCTGGGTGCGTGGTGCAGCAGCTCCCCAGAGCAGGAGCAGATCATGCTTTAGGTGTGAGCTTTCTAAGTCAAAGACGGTCCCGGGGCTGCCACCAGCAGACAGCAGGTAGTTGCATTTATGGGCTTGGAGCCCTTTACCTTTTCTGTGAAGGGCCAGATAATAAACATTTTTGGCTTGATGGCTCAGATGCTCTCTATGGCAACTACTGAACTTGGCTATTTTAACAAAAGCAGCCACAAATTATATGCAAATGAATGGGAGAATGGATATGGCTACGTGCCAGTAAAACTTTATTTACAAAAACAGGCAGCTAGGGGCTATAGTTTGCTGAGACGTGAGCTAAACATAGACATACATTTGGGAGCACTTGCACTATGAATGGAAATGAAAGGGCTGGGAAATAATTTTTATCGTCATGATTTAATATCAGAGGCAAGGGGTCATCCCTGGGGGTCAGGGGTAGCCAAGGTCCAGAGCAGAGCAGTGGGTTGGGGAATCTCATGGCAATGTCAGGCCTTAAGCACAGGCCTGGTTGGGTTTGAGGGGTCTGCAGTGGCGGGGGACCCTAGGGGGCCTGGGGCTCACTCTCCCCCAACCTTGCCTGCAGCCCAACTGCTATGCCAAGGTGATCACGGTAGAGTCACAGAAGAAGATAGTCATCTACTCGAAGCAGCACATCAACGTCAACGAGGAGATCACCTATGACTACAAGTTCCCCATCGAGGACGTCAAGATCCCCTGCCTCTGCGGCTCCGAGAACTGCCGGGGCACCCTCAACTAGGCTCCTGCACCACACTCGAAGGATGTCGCCGCAGCCCTGGGACTCCCGAGCGTGGAGCCCCCCGGCCCCGGGGCCTGGCCCCCCCGCCCGCCCCCATTTCAGGTGCTGTCCTCTACCCAGCGGCCATTCAGGGCCTGGCGCCCCACACTACCCCCTGGAGCCCCTGGCTCCGGCCCCTCCGCGGGAAAGGGCTTCTCTGTCGTTCAGCCCACGTCTCTCTCATTTTTACAAACGCCCCTTTCAGGATTTCTGTTTAACTCCAGCATCAGCTTCTCTCTCTCCGTCTCTCCTCCCCTCTCTCTGTTCTCTGTCTCTTCTCCCTCCCACCGTCACCCTCGGCCTCTTCCTGTGAATGCTGCTATGTTGTTTTGTCTTCTCTATTTTTTTTCCCTCATCGTGAGAAAAGACATTTTAACCGTTGAAATGTGAAGGTGGAATCAGAGGGGCCCCGCGGGGGGTCTGCAGAGGCCTCAGTGTGGCTGTGCGTGGCCCGTGTCCTGGAAGCCACCCGGGCCTGGACGCAGGGCCAGGTGCTGTGGGAAGGACAGAGGCCCCCACGGCCTTGACCTCAGAACACTAAGCCCTGAAAGTCCCCCTCACTGCCCGTGGGCACAGTGAGGAGACCCCAACACCTTTCCCAACCCGAGCCCCAGGCTATTCCTTCCCCAGAGGCCTGGGGCACCGCTGACCCGGCGACCCTGGTGGAGCTAAGCTCGTCCCCGGCAGGGTCTCCACCCGGCTCTCCCTGCCACCTCACATCCCAGCACCCCCTAAACCTTGGGTTCAATGTTTACTTTCTCATTCGGATGCCAGCAACGAGGGAGCCTCTTGGAGGCCCCAGTGCAGGTGAGGGGCGCTGAGAAGGCGGGCGGCCACTCTCTTCTGCCCTTGCCTTCACCCTGGGTGGGAGGGGGCTCCCAAGGGCGGGCGGGTCCCCCGTCCCGCCATTACGGGTTGTCAGACCGTCTGCGTGTGGCGTTTTTTGGCTTATAAGCTTCACCCAGTCACCCCCGACCCACACCCCACGTCCCCCTGCCGGCAGCCCCTCCCCCCAGGAAGGCCAGAGGATATTTATTTTCGGAGGGAGCAGATTCCTTCTCCTAGAGAAAGGAAAAATCTTGGAAAAGATTTTAAAACTCAGATCTAAGTCTTTGACAGTTTTTTTTTTTCCCTTTTGACCCCCTTCCTATCCTCTTCAGTTTATTCCTATGCATTTTTTTTTTCTTGTGCGTGTATAAAATCAAAACGAAGGGGAAAAAGGTTTTTGAAGTTCAGAACCAACTTCTGTATATAGAGGCTGCCGCAAAGGACTTTCTCTTGGGAACATTGTTTCTTGTAGAAACATGCGGGAAGACATTTTTTGCTCATTTCTTTGTACTTCCAAAAAAAAAAAAAAAAAAGACAAAAGCAAGTCCCCCCGTACCCCAGAAAGCAGAGAAGGCGTGTAAATAATTTCTGGAAAGTGACTGTTGTGACCCGGAGTCCTCATCAAGACGAGCGAGCGCGCTCCATGTGGGAGCTGCTCCCACCCTGCAGACGCGGGCGGCCGGAGCCTCTGGTATCTCAGCTTGTGTCAAGCTTGTTATCATGTAAATTCTGTACAAAGAATTGTTATTTTTCTCTTTTTTGTCGTTGGTGGTTTTGTTGTGTGTGTGTTTTTGTTTTTTTTTTTTAATTCCTTTCCCCCAGGCCCTCTCTATTTGAGACTGTGCCCGCCGGTTTCAAGATCAAGGAAATTGGTGGCATTAAGACACAGATGGGGTACCTGGGCACAGCGGCGAACTTCTCTTCCGCTTGCGGTTTTCTGCCTAATTGTGCAACTGAGGAAATAATTTATTTTTCACATGAGGAAATGCGTAGCTTGTAGAGATGGCTGATTCAAGTTACATGTACAGCCCCCAAGGGGCTGTCTCCATTCTGTCCCCTTCCCATAAAAGAAGTGGGGTGATGCGAGAATACCAGGGAAGGGACCCTTGCCTCGCCCCTCCCCCTGGCCTCACCTTGCCCCTAGCCATCGTGCCCAGTGTAAACCTCGGCTGGCCTTCACTAAGGGGACTAGACCTCCCTCTCCCAGGAACCCCCGCCCCAGCCCCAGAGTGGTTTGCAATAATCAAGGTATGTGTCGAGTCATTCTTCTTTCAACTCCCTCATTTTTCATTGAACAAATCTCTGCTTTTCAAGAGTTGGGGGTTTCTGCTATTTTTTGTTTTCTCTCCCTCACCCTGCAAAGAGAACCAATAAGTTTTAGGGACGTTTCTGTGTATAGACTCCATCATCCATATGTAACTTGTTTTGAAGAGAAGTGTTTCCGTTGTGAGTGTGTCTTGCTGTAAATATTTGTTCATATTTTTGTGAATTCAATACTATGTACCATTGTATTATAGTAACTTTTATAAAGCAAACCATAAATATACTGACTTTTCTTACAGATACGCCATCTCTCTTGCTCTCCTCTCTCCCTCTCTTTATTCTTTCTTTCTGTTGGGAGCACATCCTGCTTCCGTGGAGGGTGGAGTGCTCCACTCAGACACTCAAATCAGCAGGGTTTTTTGTTTTTGTTTTTGAGACAGAGTCTCGCTCTGTCACCTCAAGCTGGAGTGTAGTGGTGCAATCATGGCTCACTGCAGCCTTGACTTCCTGGGCTCAGGTGATCCTCCCATCTCAATCTCCTGAGTAGGTGGCACTACAGGCGCACACCACCATGCCTAGCTAATTTTTAAGAAATTTTTTGTAGAGACGGGGTCTCCCTGTGTTGCCCAGACTGGTCTCAAACTGCTGGGCTCAATCTATCCTCCCACCTCAGCCTCCCAAAGTAGTGGGATTACAGATGTGAGCCACCGTGCCCAGCCTGAACTTGTAGGTGGGTTTTGTGAACTGGGCCAAATTATAGTCACCACTAGACCTTCCGCAGCTTTTAAGTTTGATTTCCAGATGTTTTCTTAAAACCTCAGGTTTTTGACTCATGAGGTCTGCAGTGAAGGAAATAAGATCAGGTATCCTTTTACTATCACTAGAAGAATGTAGGTGGTTCCTCAGAAATGTTTAACACTTAAGGAGAGGCCCCCCGCCCCCCCTCCCGGTCTGCATTTGAGGGAGGAAAAAGGGCTGATAAATAGTACAAGTTGAGAATAATTAAATCTATCCTGTACTCACGGCATTTCAGAGATACTGTGCCCCAGTCTCAGCTCTGTTTGACCCCGTAGAGGGGCAACAAAGGGCTTGTAGTTGGCGTCCACAGTAAATGTCTCCAAGAAGGAAAGATGTAAAACCTTAGCAAAAAGCAATATGCCTGAAAAGACGCTGTACCTCACTTTTTACTGGAGAAATGTGAATTACCCCATGATACCATTTCCCCCGTCAGGTTGGCAAATATTAGAAGGTGGAGGAAACCCAGTTTGGGGGAGCAGTAGGCAGGGGAACTCTCATGCATCACTAGTGGAAGCCAAAAATCGCTGCAACTTTTAGGAGGGAAAATACCTATTAGCAATCATTATTTAAAATGCACAGGACTGGCGCGGTGGCTCACACCTGTGATCACAACAGTTTGGGAGGCCTAGGCGGCAGATCACCTGAGGTCAGGAGTTCGAGCCAGCCTAACCAGCATGGTAAAACCCCATCTGCTTTATCTCTGAGACCAGGAACCAAGGGACCATGTCCTACAGTTGTTGAGCAGGGATGCTGCCCCTAGAGTCCCTTGTCTAACACTCTCCCCTCTCCTGTGTTCAGAGGTTTGGGCTCTGGGTAGCAAAACTGAAGACAGCTCGCATCTTTAGAGATCATCGGCCTGGCACGGTGGCTCACACCTGTAATCCCAGCACTTTGGGAGGCTGAGACAGGCAGATCACGAGGTCAAGAGATCGAGACCATTCTGGCTAACAAGGTGAAACCCTGTCTCCACTAAAAATACAAAAAATTAGCCGGGCGCCTGTAGTCCCCGCTACTCGGGAGGCTGATGCAGGAGAATGGCGTGAACCCGGGAGGCGGAGCTTGCAGTGAGCCGAGATCGCGCCACTGCACTCCAGCTTGGGGGACAGAGCAAGACTCCCTCTCAAAAAACAAACAAAAAAAGAGATCATCAAGCCAGCAGACAAGATGCTGAAAAACTCTCACCCCACCTCAGGGCCTTTCCCTGTTTACTCTTCCTGGAATCCTCTTCCCGAGCATGGTCCCATGGCTGGCTCCCAAATGTCACCTTCTCGGAGAGGTCTTCCCTTGATAAAAATTACCTCCCCTGCGATCTTCACCTCCACATAATCTCATGAACTGCCTTTTTTTTTTTTTTTTTTTTTTTTT